CAGATAGCTACTGATAACACATCCTAACATTGCTCTGTCTTGAGTTTATCTTTGAAACTCATAGGCACACAGATTAAACCTGTGTTGTTGATTTTGGAAAACACTACTGAAGCTGCCTTGCTTCCCTTCAGAAAATCTACATTTTAACCAACTTACATGACATTCTATGTTATATTGACTTTATCATATGAAAGTTTATGGTGCATTTCATCAATTAATAAATAGTGAAAATCGTAATTTTCAACACAAATAATAGTCTCGCTACCTTAAATCTCTAATTTTAGTGAGTATTTGTGTCATTTTTCATAAAAATGTTATTTTCAACTTCTTGTTGAAAACCTCTGACCTGATTGCTTTGTTGCAGTGTTTGCAAAGAACACGTCATTTTCCTCAGATACAGCACTAAGCGCTTTCTTTTGATGAACAGTAAGCTCCTTCAGAGAAAAAGCTAGCAACACATTTATTTGATTTTAATTTTATAAAGTAATGTGTAGTTTCTTTCGCGAGTTCTGATTGGGTGATGCAAATGAGCCGAAGTTTTTGAGGGCGTGCGACATACAGTAAATCATAGTGAAATCTGCCAAGGTTTAATGTTGAGGCTTCAGCCGAATAAACTGTCCTTGGCTGGCGAAGATGGCATTTAGGCATATGCACATTTGATGATGGTTAATTTTGATAAAGTAAAAGTATCTCAACACCATATACCCCAGTCGATATTTTGAACCATAATAAAGGAAATTTAAGTTCAAAATGAAACCATTCAATTTTTGCAGCAGATTTTCAGTTTGTGTTCTTAACGCATAATTTCATCAAAGTTCCGGAAATCTACTAGTTGCTCAGACATGCCCGAGACATGTTGAAATGTTTTTTTGCAAACAAATGGCTGCCAAACTTTCCTCTGTACCCTCTTCCAAATACAATGACCATAGTGTTGCAATAAACTTTTATTAGCATTCCGTCTAATACTATAATAACACCAGTAAAGTTTAATCATTCTACTGACAAAGAAAACAAGAACACAAGTAAACCGACAATATAATTTAAAACAAAGGCCTACATATAATCTGGGTTTTCATCATAATTGAAATACAGATGCATACAAACATGTTAAAATGGATCAGTAACCTTCAACTTGCATATTCAAATGATGTATTCTGGTGCC